AAGGTTCATATAAACAGAACAGATTTCCAACAAGTTACTTTAGCTACAGAAATCATCAAACACAAATCTAAGTGTACACAACTGAATGAAATTGAAGAAGATTGATAAGTAAATTGTTGAGTGAAGTTAATACGCATACTATCGCCAGTACTACAAATAATACTCAAAAACCTATAAAGGAAATTACAGAATTGAACAAATCAAAAAAATACAAAGTGACAAAGTTGACGACGGTGAACTACTTTTATGGAATCATTCCAACTTTAGATGATGAATTCCATGTTTCTTTGCCACCACGGCCTTTTGAAGATGATATTGTATTCGGCTTTTTACTGGAGTATATTAAGAACGATGAATTGGCCCTGCAATACTTTGGTAAAGACTGCAATAATTTCAAATTCTTTTCCAAAAAACGTGAAGACAACATCTTAGAGGATGCCACAAAGCAAGTCAATAAATTCAACAAAATGACACTTAATTATATCAATGTAATACAATTACATCTTTGTCAATGATTATTAATAAATTTTTTCAAATTTAAATAATTTCTGACATTTACTTACTGGACTCTCTAACAGATGACAAAAGAAATTGCTAAATTTTTCTAAAGAATTTGAATTTTGCACTCGCCACAACAGCAACGTCACATAATGATGGATATTGGGAAAAATTTAACATGAAATTTAAAGACTTGTTTAAACCGCGGAAATAATGACGCTATTACGTAATCAACGTTGGTAACAGTTATCGCCTGGTGATTAACAACAGTTACCGACAAAAATTTTTTTAAATTTGAATTTAAATTCTCACCCGCTATAGCAGCGCCATCTAGGAGAAAAAATCGGTAATAATTGCCGACTGCAGATCGGTACAACACCATCTAGTGGAAAAATCGGTAACAACACCCACAGTCAGTAAGTTGCCAGAACATGTTATGTGCATGTTATATAACAGCAAGGCTCGGTGTTTACTGGGGGAAAATTAGTTTTATATGGAGTTTATTTACTGCATATAAAATTGACGCAATTTTTGGCTCACTGATGTTGTATCGTGACTGTACTTCTGTTGAAAAAAAATTTTTTTCAGTTTGGGTTATAAGTAAATTCGTTTTACGGGGTAAGTGACTCCTCCTTTGAGTGATCATTTTTTGCATGAGTGATTATTACCAGTAGTTTAATCTGATAATTCTTGTATCTTTCTACAGCTTCATTGCATTACTCTATTGATTCATTATGTTGGTTTAGTCGTTTTAGGAATCTGATTTGTGTGGTGCTGTTCAACCTGGCGATTTTTTTTTCTAAGTCAGGTACGCTTTTTATTATTTGCTCGGGGGTAATGCGGGTAGAGAGGTGTTGATGGCTTTGAAAATTATTCGGATTTTACTTATCCGGTTTTAAAAATTTCAGTGTTTCCTTGTTTTCCACATTTTGTTTTTTTCGTTGAATAGACACATAAATTTATTAACTTTCTATTAGAAAGTTATTGAAATTGGGTCGATTGGTAGAATTTCAATTTTTATCATATCTCCACGTTTCATGATATTTGCAAGCATCATTATCAATTTTTAGAATGATGTGGTGGTATGTATGTATGTATGTATGTATGCACGGACCTCGACAGATATTATTATGAAGAGAATTGAAAAGTAATTTAAACAAATTCGGTTGAGCCGTTTTTTTTTTTTCATAACCAGATAAATAATAAAACAATGAAAAGATTAGCTATTTAAAATACTTTTAAGTCAAACAATAATAATTTCATTTGAAAATTGAGTCGATATTGACTAGACATTATTGTTCACCACCAAATATGACTTTGACCAATTATGCATCGTTTCTAACAATGGGAATTTGTTATAAAAAATCAAAAATTGTATTTATTGATTAAGTATTGTTTACATCACATGGGTTTGGATGTTTCCAAAAAAATAATGTTATTTCTGATGAGATATGACTTTCAACAATTACACATTGTTTATAACAATATGAATTCGTTAACAACAAATCCAATTATTTTAAAAAAAGGAGTAGGTTTCTATTTGTATTACACATTGTGTAACTTTATTTCAGTAAAAGAGAAAATTACGCGTTGGAAGAACTTATATTTGTTGCATAGAACGTGTTATTAATTGTTTATAACACATTCAATTGTTATAAACAATTCACATAAACAAAAAATAGCCTATAACCTTTCTGACAGACACCGACGACTTATATCTATACTATTACATACATTTCTGGTATCTGTCCGCGCTAATCTCCAAAACGGCTCATCTGATTGCGACTGAATTTTTCATACATGTGAGAAGCGTTGTTAGGAACGTTCTATGCTACATATTGTAGAATAAGACCAAATAACAACTTCGGAACATAAATTAATAAAGGAAAAGTTTATTTAAGAATGACAGCAATTAATTAAAATGAAAGAATCCATGTGGTCAACTCAAGTCTCAGTCAAAAACTGGAGGTAAACAAACTCTCCTCTCGTTGCTATAAACAATCTAATCGTTGAGCAATCGTCGTAAACTAACAAACTGTCGTTAGTCTAATAATCATTAGATGGCGACATACAAATATTTTACAATATATAAGTTCTTCCAACGCGTAATTTTTCTATTACTAAAATAAAATTACAAAATGTGTAATACAAATAAAAACCTACTCCTTTTGTTTATAACAATTGAATTTGTTATAAACAACTGACAAATCAACGCGTAATTTTTTTTTGCTAAAAAAATGTTACCAACTGCGTTACATGAATTGAACGCATACTCCTTTTATTGATATCATTCAAATTTGTTATAAAAAATGCAAAAAGAGATCTATGCGATACATCAACACTCTATCAACGGGAAATTTTTTGCTAAAATTGAGTTGCATACCATGTAGATTGTAAAAAAACGTACTTTTTTTGTTTATAACTATTAACTTCGTTATTAACAATAGAAAAGATGACCTACTACATAAATTTAAGCTCTTCCAATGTTATTATATATTTTACCCGGACGAAATCGCGGGAAACTGCTAGTTTCAGCATAGATTATTAAAATATTTCTTGTGTTTAATTATTTTTTAATATTCTTTAAACTGAAGAAAGTTTTTTCAGCATGCTGATTTTTTTCTTGGTGTTAAATTCGTAATATTATGAATAATTCATGGTCACGTTAATTTTAATTTAAATAATTACTCTATAAGAATTATAAAAGCAGCAATAAAATAATTGATATTACTTTACAAATTTTTACTAATAAGCAATAAATCATTTGTATCTCCTATATGCAGTAAAACTTAATTTATTGTAGTAAAAAGGATAACTTGGTCATCAACACCGATTGTAACACCGGTTATTTTGTTTTTTAAAAATGCTTTTTATTATACGATTTTGAAGAATCACTTTTAAATTCAGCTAATTGTTTATTCAGTTTTTTAAATGAAAGATCCCTGCTTTCCTTACCTGTCTATCAGCTGCAAAGTGAAGGCTATAGAGTTATTATCAATTTTGGTAAACTCGTAACTTTTTTAAAAACTGTCTCAATCAATCTATTATGCATCGTAATTATGCACAAGTCGTGGAAATCAGCTGGTATACTACAAAGAAATATATTGAATTACTATTTAAGTTCCGATAGATGTTAAAACTAGATAAACAGCTGTTAACGAATATCAACGGTTGAATAGCCTAACCGGTAAGGATAGGAATGAATATGCTAGAATAAAGCAATTAGTTACACAATATGTAACAAAAGTATAGAATCTTTATTTGAGTACTAGTAACACTAATAGTATATACACCTTACAACTTTATTACACTGAATCTAGAATAAATTTTTACTGAATGTCACAAAAGCTATACGAAAGACTGTCCAAGAGGATTCAACATGGAATGTCTAGTATTATTGCAAAACAGACAAAATAATCGTGTAAATGTTAACAAGAACGGGAAAGGAATGACGACAGAAACTTCACTTGTCAAATTTGACACTAGACTTCAATCAATTGAGTGACTAGAATTTAGGAATTTATCGATTCTTTAATAGAATGGTTATCGATCTAGTGCCATGATGGGCACCGAAGTTCTCGTCAGCTGATTGATCGAATTGAGAATTAATTAATTTTTAACAATATCAATATGTTTAATTTACGAATTTGGTATTTTCGATACTGAAATTAAATAAAAATTCAAACAAACTGTTAGGATATTTTGTAATTTTAAGTTCCTATATTCAATGGTTATTTCTATTACTGCCTGAAATTTTTTCTTATTATCAGTAAATGTTTAGTTTCTTTTTAAAATCTTAGTAGTTTGAATATTATCAGTGTTAAGAAGACGTTTAGCGGAGTTAACTGCCAACAGCTGAGAAGAAAATTCTCTCTGCATCTAATAAGCAGCGTTTGACTCGTTACTAAGAAAATTTGAATCAAAAATTGCTCATCTGGACAATTTTAAAAAATCACATATGTTAAAGTATCACCTTCCATGTCTCCATCGAAGGTTATTCGGTCGAACTTATTTATATTCGACCATAACGAGAATCAACCTCATCCGGGCCTTATCTGATTTGCTACCTTGGTATATGTACATTGAACAATACAGCCCCAGAATCAAATAGAGTAGTAGTCAGATTATATTAAGTTTAATGAATCGTTGTATATATCACCAGTTATAGTCGATTCTTAATACCTTTCATCTCAGTTAACTCAACATGTAAGACAAAAAAATATCTAGCTCATAAAAACTTTGAAGAACTTCGATAAAAAAAATGAATAATGTGAAAGTCAGAAATAACACAGTTAATTTTTCAGATTTATTAGAGAATGTTTATTAATATTTGCTTAACCGATTTAGATACAACTCTTTTGTTGCTCATCAAAAATGTGAGGTTGATTCTTCTATTTTTTAGTCTTAAATCTACGTTTTATGAGTTGATTCAAAAGATTTTCAACATAATGTTTCGTTCATAGAAAAAAGTTCGGTCTAAAGTATAAAAAACGTTAACTTACGTGAGATGTATCTTTTCCTCCAACCCACAAGAATTCGACTGAACTGTTAGTTTGTTTTATTATATCTACTGTCATCTTCTTTGGACCTCCTTTCTGTTGGTGGTTCTCGATAACATTTTGAGATTGAATTATATTGGTTGAACAATCTGGAAGGCATTTAGTTAATAAATAATAATAATTTTTAAATTAAAATACAAAAATTAGTTATAAAGCACTAATTTTAGTAACTTGATTCGGAAACGTGTAGAAAAGAACTCCTTCTGAGGTACAAAAGATGGGAAATAATATTGGACGAATTGGATGAAAGTCAAGCACTTTACGAACGACCACAGTGTGATTTTATTCGTCTCATTTCAAATTAATTATATGATAACCAACAACTTAAATTTTAAATTTCAATTCACTATTTGAGTATTTAATCTCGTACATGTGTCACTTATTATCTGTCCGCGCAAGCACCTTAACTTCAATTTATTTTAAAATGACATTTAGTATTGTTATGTATTTTTGCTCTTTAAAAGTGTCAATATGTAAACCATATGTTTAACCTTAGATACTTAAAGTTCCTCTTTTCAGTCCTAGCCTTTCGACCAATAGACAGGGATGAGGGGATCGTCAATAGAGAAAGTGAAAATGTTTGATTTATATAAAAACAATAACAAAATTCATTGAATGAAAATTACTGAAAAATTATAACAACAATTGAAATGTTACTAACAGATGATTTCTTTTACTCTCGTCGAGATGAATTACAATTAATGGGCTCTGAGTTGATTCTCCAGTCAGCGTAATGTTCACTTTTACTCGTAAATTAATTTGAATATCAATTGAAAAATGATTTAACGATCAAATAAACTTCATACATAAATTTACAAACTTCGAAATATTATTAATACAATGTTCAAGACAAAACAAGACTTACGACTTCAAGAGATGTTTCACGACGATCTGATCTCGATCTTACTTTTTCGACAACTGACTAATGCATCGAACTTTACTTATTTATTTAGTTGAATGTCACATAGTTGGAAGTAACTTGCTTCTTACGTCACGTACTCTTTTTTAAAAATTTTATTTCTTTCCGCCACGTGGGTTTTTCAAAAGCAATAAAATATCCAAAAGATGATTTCCTCAACTATTCTTCGAAGCCCTTTCTATTTTAACAAAATCTTAGGAAACCTTAAAGAAAATAACTTGAGTAATAATCGTTAACTTCAATCCTTAAGTTTTATTGCTATTTATTTTTAGATTCTCTTAAAATATATTTTGAATAATTATGTAAAATAATCAAAATACATTCAGACATTACAGTATGGATTACTGTAAAACTACCAGACAAAAAGAAAGGTTTTTTTCTACGTTTTTCCGCTATATTTTTCAATCGTGAACAGCTCCCCAACTCAACATTTTTTTATTTCCAATGTCAAGAACAAGACGAGCTCTAATTGATTGAGCGTCGAAAGGAGGACTAAAATAGGGACATAGAAGTACATTCAGAGAAGACTTTAGCTCCAGAAAGACGAAAAAAAATTGAGTGCATAGTTCAATCAGTTTCGACAACTCACAGTTATACTATACAACAAACGATATCAGCTGATAGAAAACTTCTCACTCCTCTTTTTCTTATTTTAAAAGAACCAACTGGAAAACTTACTTTAGGTACAGAATTCAGTTTAAATATTATATCATATGATATCTTCCGAAAGTTTATATACCCATTTATTTTAGAACACTTCAAAATCTGTTTGAAGGATGTATTCTCTCTGAATGTTGGAAAAAGTCGTTTACTTTTGATTGATTCGTGGACCGGACATTGCTCTGAAGCTGTCACGTCTGCTAAACCACCGGATAAAGAAATTAAGGTAACTGTTGAGAATTAATTAATTCTCAGTTTGAATTTGCCAGCTGACAGGAACTTCGGCGGCCATCTTGGGACTGGTTCGATAACCAATCGACCGAACAATCAATAATGCTTAATTTAGTCAATCATTTGACTAATTTTCAGTGTCCCTTTTGACTAATGAAGTTCCTGTCGCCATTCTTTCTCTGTTCTCATTCACGTGTACACGCCATTCACATTCTTTTCAGACAATCTTGAAGTTTTGAGTCAATCATTAGTGCTAGTGCTATTCTGAACCACCAGAAATATTCAATTTTCATTCTACAATCAAAATCAACTAACATTTCAAGACGTTCCATAGTAAATTCACGAAGTTACATTAAATTCATTTTGCATTGCATTGATAGGCTAACGCCACGTGCACAATCACATTCTTGCTCAACTTCAGAAGCCTGCTGAGCTCGTGTGGGAGGTCAATAATACCGAACATACCAAGTTGAGTATTTTTTAGACATTCAATTGACATTCAGTAATTACAATTGACATTTAGTGATTTCTAAAGACATTCATTTCTTGTATTCAGTGAAAAACGGTCATTCAGTGTATATTGTGTACCTGTTAGTGCTCAAAATAAAGATTTTATATTTTTTATAAAACCTGACTTCCGTTTGCTCTGTTCCGGCACAATCATCCCTATCCTTAAACGGTTAGGTTAATTCAAAAGTTGAGATTTTCTCAACAGTAACAATTATTCCTAAAGGGGCTCTGGACAAATTCAACCATTAGATGTTTTTGGTTTAGAATATGGATAAACTTTGAAAGACATTTTTCAGACAGCGTCCTGTTACGAGGAGATGATTTAAATTTACACTTAAAAATAATATTATCGAATTACAATCACTGACTTGTAATCAATTCTCCTTACCACAATGCATTAATCTTTTTGGTTTTCCATGGTTTAAAAGTACTTATACATTTATTATACCAGCTGAATTTGAAGATCCAGTTGATTTTGCATTTGGAGATAACTGTTAGTCTCATTGTGAAATTCTGAGATGTAAAAATATTGCAATTATCCGTTGTGCATGGTGTAAAAGATCATTGTGTCTTGAACATTTTTACAATGATTATCATACATATAATACGTACAATCAATACATAATTCATCTTCTTCATTTCGATACAAATCTGGGAGAGAAGGGAATAGAATTTTTGGCATCGATCTCGATGTTATTTTAGAATTCGTAAAGACACTTATCTTGTAATTTTTTATGCTTTTTCGATTGAAATTAATCTTATTAAACAATAAATAAGAGTTTTTAAGTTATAGATTTTTTGATATATTTGATTCAAAAAAATGTATATCCGTAAGTTTTATAAATATGTAAATAATAGTATTTTTTACCTTTTTTCATAATATTGTTAATGTACAAGGTCGTTTCGAAAAATTCGTTTTAAAAAATATAGCGTATCAACTTTCAGGGTAATTTTTACCCCTTTGTTCTGACTTCGAGTCGGCCGGACGAGCAAACTGAAAACTAGTGGACTGTAAGATTTAAGAGCAGAATAAGAACAAAGGTTGGATGCTAGAAGGTTCCAAAAAATAGTTTATTAACACCGAACTGCTTGGGTTTTATAGATTTTATTCAACAATACCACTTAACATACTCAATAGAACTTAATAATCACTACATATAATTGAGTTGACTGTACAGTAATTGTTTGTACACGTATGAGTTGTCTGATGGTTATTTTTTCACCAAATAACATAGTCTCAAAAAACAGTGAATAGCAACATTCACAGTATACACCAGAGTTATTCGGGGGTGCGATGTATAGGTGAATGTCCGTGAGGCACTATGGCGTCGACGCCAGTTCAGCTTCGCGCCCAAAGACACTACAACTGAATATACTGGACCACTGGCACTGATGAGAGTAATTTGATGATTCACGTATGTTCGTGAGAGTTGTCTGAGTTTATTTGACCGTACTTTTTTGTACAAAGAGTGAGCTGACTGCAAAAATCTGCGATTTGACTGCGAACTATTGTACAGAGATGACTGCGTGATTTGCCTGGAGCTAACTGACGCCACAAGTGCTCGACCGCGTGCTTGTTGGCGTCACTAGGGCCGTAGAGTTGCCTTCTGGGCCATGAGGGAATTACTTCCCGATGATTGGTCCATTGAGTTGACTGACGCGCCGGTGGACAAGTCCGGCATTAACCATTTTCAAATATTCTGAGACTTGCTGACTTGGGGCCCTCCAAGTCAGAACACCCTTCAGAACGTTTTACCGCCAAAAAAAAACGTGGTTCATCATTTTCGACGTAGATGACCATATGGAAACTTCAGCTAAATCGACGGTGACCACCTTGCAAAGTTTTCTTGTGAGGAAAACTCAAAAAATGACTCAAGTATCAATCTTTATTATCATTTACATTAATATAGTTTACATTTATTAAGCTGCTTTTAGGCTTATACGAATTTAATTGTCACGTTTTATCGGATCAAACAAAACAAATATTTTTAGTTCTTTTTGAATAATTGAAAGGTATTAAAGAGGTGGATTTTTTTGTTTTGATTTTTCAATGATAAACGTAATTATAAATAGACTAGACTTGTACTACATACGTAAAATTAATGCAATATTGCACCTCTGATGTTTTGCTGAGAAAAAAAAAATACAAAAGAAAATACAGAAAAGTTTAAAAGGAGAATGAGTAAATGTTTGATACTGCCTGGCCTTGAGATTGTTGAAAGAAAAATTGTACTTTTGAAAAAATTCATTGAAATACAATTACGATTACAAGTTACGAAAAAGAGAAATAAATTTGAAATTAGTAATAAAGTTTGCATAAGTAAATATAAGTACATTTTTGAGAAAGGTTATACTTCCAACTAGACAACTAAAATCCTTACTGTAAGCAAAGTAGAGAATACTTACTCTGTGACATAAAAATTAACCGATTATCAAAATCCGCCAATAGAACGTGGATTTTGCGACGATGAATTAACTCGAGCCGAATATCCTAACATATATTTGGTGTAAAAAATATTTAAAAAACGCGGCAATCAGGTCTATGTAAAGTGATTAGAATTTGGCAAGAAACACGATTTGAGCAGTGCCATACGCCGCCTCGGATACCTTTCTCAATGTATAAGACCATTTTCAAGTCTATCAAAAGCTCAAGCTTAACATACGTAAGTCTTAACATTGCGTCAAATGCAAGCTTCCCGGGAGTGTAGCAATAAAGAGGATCTGAGTCTTATGTTTTTTGACAGCTATGTCGGAAATTTCAAAAAATAT